CTCTACATACTAATTCGCGCGCTATTCAAAGTGCTGTAACTCAGCTAAAAATAGAGATAGAAAGCTGAAATTTTGTAAGACTACATTTTGAAATATGGCAAAAACTTTGGTGTTTGAAAACATTCAAAACATTCTTTCCACAAAAAACACTTACTATCAAAAATTCGAAACTTGAGTCTCATTGGAGTTGGTGCTCTGTCATCCATCTCCCTTGAAATTGACACAAACTCGGCCCCTATCCTTCTTGGACAATGAACTACAGATTCTGGGAATACTGTACTTTTCCAGTGCGACCCCAAAAGTTCATTCCTTTGACAATCGTAATATCTACAGTATACCGGCTGTTTGACCATTGATTGTGAATTTATTGTGATTGAAATGTAGGTGGGATAAACATAAGCACCAATTAACGATAATTGAGTGTAGTTTTGACTGTTCTGAAAAACTTTGAAATTAAAAAAAATGTTTTTTTGAATATTTTTTTAAAACTTTTTTTTCTGAAATTTTTGCCATATTTCAAAATGTATCTTTACAAAATTTCAGCTCTCTAGCACCACTTTGAGCTGAGTTACAGTCCTTTTAAGTTCTAACGAGACAGTGTGAGGAAGGCGGAGGTCCCACACATTCTCGTTGCCTGCGCTCTCCCCCTTCCGCACACTATCTCACCCCACTCTTTAAATGACTGTATCTTAGCTGAAAATTGGGCTAGAAGGCTGAAACTTTATAGTTATACATTTTGAAATATGCTAAATAATTCTGTGCAAAAATTTTCAACAGGTTCAGATTTAAAAAAAAATTAACAAAAACTTTTTTCGATATGTTTCCAATTTGAAAATCACATATTATTTGGCATATTTCAAAACATATTCTCACAAAATTTCAGCTTTTTATCGTTACTTTGAGCTGAGTTACAGCCGTTTGAAGTGTCCGGCGAGAGAGTGGAGGGCGCANACACTCTCCTCTCCTGCGCCCTCTCCCTTCCTCACACTCTCTCGGCTCTGCCATCTTCTCAGGCCTGTTACTCGTCTGAAAATGGGGCTAGACAGCTTTTATTTCTCAGATCTACTTTTTGCAATATGCGCATGATTTTGTTCTTAAGATTTTTTAGAACAGACCTCCAATTACCTCTCTGGACAAGTCCAAAGCCATCCATAATTTTCTGGACATTGAACTCCATAATGAGGTACTTATGGAATGGGTCTCAACACTATTCCAATCCGCAATAGTACACTGGTTACTGTAGATAATTGGAAGGGGAGAGGTACGGTAGAAATCTGGAAAACATTGGGTTTTTTTGGGGAGTTTTGGATGTTATTCAAAGTTTTCGAAACTATTGGAATTTCACAAATTTCCAGAGAGTCTCAAATTTTGAGGATTTTTAGAAATTTCTGATTTTTCCGATTTCTAAAATTATAGAAAAAATTCGAAAATTTGTAATAATTAATTTCCAAAATCTACAGTAATCCCCAATTTTTCACATCTACAGTAATTTTCGAAGTTTTTAACAATCTTGAGAATCTACAGTAATCCTGGATATTCAAAATCTACAGTAATCTGATATTTCCAGAATTTTGAAATCTTGAATTTTCAAAATGTCTCAAATTCAAAAAATCTCGAATTCCAAAATCTACAGTAATCCATTTTCAAAACTTGAAATTTTGATTTTCTCAAGTTTCTAAATTTCAAAAATTTAGAAAATTCCAAATTAAAAAAAAAATTCTGGAAATTTTACATTTTCTGAAATTCGAAAAAAAAACTACAGTATTCCTGAACTTTAAAAATTTGAAAATTTCAAGTTGTATAATTATTCAATTTTTCTGAAAATTTGAAAAATCCAAAAGTTTCAAATTTTCAAAAATTTCAAAAAACCAACCTTGATGATTCCCAAAAACCAGTAAATATACAAACAGAAAAACTACAGTAACCACAATAAAAAATCTATAATTTCTCATTTTCTCTGAAATCAAAAATTTCGGGAAAATTTCCGAAATTTTTAGGGTCCGCCCACTTTTTTTTCGGTTAATTCAGAAGACGTCCCGTTTTGTACGTCGTCTGATTCTTAGAGATTTTGATCGGAGATATCCAGGATTTTTGGACCTTTTTCTCGTTTTTCCGAATCTTTGGATTTTTCATTTTTCCCTTATTTTCATGATCGAATTTGAAAAATTCCAGTTTTCGGGGTTTTTTTTAAATTGAGATGTAGAGATTTCGATTTGGTTACTGTAGATTTAGGAAATTGAGGATTACTGTGGATTCCGTAACACAGTTTGATTTTTTCTAAACTTATGAATTTTTGAAAGATTTTTGGATTTTTGGAATTTTTCAAAATTTTCCAGATTTTGTGAATCTAGGATTACTGTAGACTTTGTATAGTTTTTGAAATAATCGAAATTTTTGAAACTTTTGAAAATTCGAAAGTTTTTTGGCAATTAAAATGTTTTACTGTAGGTTTTAGGAAACTAGGATTACTGTAGATTCTGGAAATTCAGATTTTTCGATTTTTAACGATTTTGGAATTTTCGAGTTCTGAAAATTTTCAAAATTGATGACTGTAGATTTTAGAAAAACGGGATTACTGTAGATCATGCTAATCTAGGATTACTGCATATTTTGCATTGATTTCGAAATATTCCAAACTTTTGGAATTTTCGAAAATTTTGGAAATGCAGAACTACTGTAGTTTTTTGGATTACTGTAAAATATGAAATTGAGAAATATAGACTTACTGTAGATTTTGGGAATCCAAGATTACTGTAAGTTATAGAACTCCCGGATTACTGTAGATTTTGAAAATTGAAGATTACTGTACATTATGGAAATCCAACGTTGGCAATCCAAAATTACTGTAGATCATGGCAATTTGAGAATTCTAGGATTACTGTAGATTTTGGAAGTATTACTGTAGTTTTTGATTTGATTACTGTATATTATGAGCATTTAGGATTACGGTAAATTTTGGAAATCGTGCACTTTCGAAAATTCAGAAATTCAGCATTTTCTGAAATTCTGAGAATTTCTAGACATTTTAAAATTTTTGAAAAAAAAAATAATTTTCTGAAAATTTAAAATATTTGGGAATCTCTTCATATCTAAACCGTTTATTTCTAACTACCGTAATCCCAAAAAATTCTCGAAATTTCCAAATTTCAGGCTCCGCCCATTTTTTTTCCGAAGGAAAACAAAACAAAATGAAACAGCCGATCGAAATCGAATCCAGAATTTGTTTTGCCGTTTTCACCTGCCCGATCAGACTACGGTACAAACATTTTAAGCTCCGCCCACTTTGAAAAAAGTCGGAAGAAGCTAATTTGCTAAATCAGAAACTCCAAAATTCTCTGAAGAATGCGCCGTGGATCGAAAATCTTATTGGGATGCCTAACTACAGTAACCCTCATCAATTTATACAGGTTTTTGGGATCGGTAAGTACAGTAATCCAGATTTTTTTTGAAAAAAGTTTTCTTTGCATTTTTTGGGGTTTTCCAAAATCCCAAGTGATCTGAATTTGAAATTTTCCAATTTAGCTCATTTCCAGCTTCCAAATGAATATAAACACGACCTATTTTGCTTCTACAGTAATCCCAAAATTTAAAGGCGCATGGACCATCGGAAATTGAAAATGGAGCGAAATGGGTCATGTTTGGGTTCATTTGGAAGCTGAAAATGAGAAAAAACTGAAAATAGAACTGGTGAGAAGAAGTTTCAAGAAAATTTTCAAAAAATTTGAAAACATTTTTCAAATATTTCAAAAAAAAAATTTTTTTCAAATTTTTTGAACTTCCTAGCCATTTGAAACTAAAAATTATGAAATTCGCTTGTTTCCAGCTTCAAAATGAGTATAATCATGACCCATTTCCTCTTCAATTTTCGAAACTACAGTAATCCTGAAATTTAAAGGCACATGGTGCACCTGGAAATTGAAAATGAAGCGAAATGGGTCTGTTTGGGCTCATTCTGAAGCTGAAATTAAAAGAAAATCAAGAATCTAGGTTTTGAATAAAAAACGTTAGAGAAAAAATTGGAGAAATATCGAAAAAATATTTTTTTTGATTTTTTCAAATTTGCAAAATTTTTTTCGAAATTTTAATTTTTCGGTTTTTTGGAATTTCCGTTTCTCCTAGAAGTTCAAAACTCAAATATTCATGTTTTACTGATTTCCAGCTTCTAAATGAGTCCAAACACGGCTAGTTTTGATTCTACAGTAACCCAAATATTTAAAGGCGCATGGTCCACCGGAAATTTGAAATTAGTGCAAGATGGGTCGTGTTTGGGCTCATTCTCAAGCTGAAAATGTGGGGAAACTGAAAATATAAGTTTCAAGAAGGAATTTGAACAAAATTTTACAAAAAACTCGGGGAACATTATTTTCAAAGATTCAAAAAAAATTTTTGGATTTTTTCAGATTTTCCAAGTTTCCACGTGTTTCAAATTTTTTATTTTAAAATTTGGCTCATTTCCAGCTTCAAAATGAGCCCAAACACGACTCATTTCCCTTCAAACTCAAAAAATTTCAAAAACTACAGTAACCCATTTTTTTCAGGAAGACTACAAAGATTGGGTGGAAGCTGAGCAAGATGAGATTGATATGAAATCAGTATTTAAGAGATTCGACACAAATGAAATTTTTGAAAAGTGGCATAATTGCATTTCAGAGCAATTATTGTGGATACAGGACGCTGAGAAGGTAATCTACAGTAATCCTATTTTTTGGAAAAAAAATTTTCAAGTTACGGTAGTTTTTTTTCAAGTTACATAAGAAGGAAACTAGAAAAAAAATTGAAATTTCAAAAAAAATTTTGTTTTGGATTACTGTACTTTTTGCAGTTCTGGAATGATTTCATGTTTGCATCGAAACGATGCGATTTGAGAGCAAATGTTGCTCAGATTGGACTGATAACACTGAAAAATTCCGATGAAATGAAACATGTCATTTTTCCGAAAATCGTGAGTTTTTTTGGGATTACTGTAGATTTTGGATTACTGTAGATTTTCAGTACAACTTCGGACCACACAATTTGTTTTCCATCGGGATCGGAAGGGATATTCAAGCTGAAAGACAATTTAGAAGAGTAAGATTTTTTTGAAATTTTTCGAAATTTTGATTTTTGACCTAAATTAGTTTGGGACAGAACTTTGCCAATTTCGGTCCTAACAACTTGAAACATAAAATTTTGAATTTTGCGTATTAAAAGCATCAAAATGAGTATAAACATGACCCTTTTTGGTGAAATTTGATTATCGGCCAAAAGTTGCCCTATACTTGCCTAAGGACCTAACTCGGCTGGTTTTGGCCCAAATTAGTTAAAACAAAAAAAATTGAACTTGGCGTGTTTTGAGCTTCAAAATGAGTATAAAAATGACTAAGTTCCGTAAATTTTGATTTCCGGCCAAAAATTGGTCTGACTTTGCCCGACGACCTAACTTAGCTGGTTTAAGTCCAAATCAATTGAAATAAAAAGTTTTGAATTCAGCGTGTTCTGAGCTTCAAAACGTGCACAAACACGACCCACTTTGGTGAAATTTGACATTTGGCCAAAAATCTAATGGTCTTACTCGGCAGGTTCTGGTGCAAACTAGCTGAAATTTAAAAACTGAGCTTGGGTTGATCTGAGCTTTAAAATGAGTATAAACAAGACTCGGTTTTGTGAATTCCGATTTTTACGAGGGTCCATGCGCCTTTAACCCCAAAAATCTAAATTTACAAAACCTAGTCTTGTTTATACTCATTTTAAAGCTCTTAACAAGCCAAGCATGAATATGAACATAAAAATGAAGAATTTTGAGTTCTTAAAGTTTTATGGACCAAAACAATTTTCAATTTCAAAAATTTTAGAAAATGCGAAAATTGGGAAACAATGTAACATTCTATGGTGCTGATCCGGTATCAATGATAAATGATAATTTATATTCCCAAATTGGAACTTATTTTCCATTGGCAATTGGCTCGAATTCTGGAATTTCCAAGGCAATGGTTATGGTAGAAGGTACAGTAATCGGATTTTTTTTTTAATTTCTGAAATTTTCAGATGGTGGATATGCTCCAAAGAGCATAGTTCATGTGGATATTGTATACTTTCTCAAAAATTTGCTCAATGTTACGGTAGGTCCTTTTTTTGAATTTTTGAGTTTTTGAGTTTTTGAATTTTCGAATTTTTGAATTTTTGAATTTTTGAATTTTTGAATTTTTGAATTTTTGAATTTTTGAATTTTTGAATTTTTGAATTTTTGAATTTTTGAATTTTTGAATTTTTGAATTTTTGAATTTTTGAATTTTTGAATTTTTGAATTTTTGAATTTTTGAATTTCTGAGTTTTTATCGATTTTTCAGAAAATCGATAATTTGTGGTTCGACGCCGAAGGAGCCGAATTTGGCGATGGATTTTTTGAGATTTTCTACAAAAATGGACGATTCGATCAGAATTCAATCGATATATGTCAAATTAATATTGAGGTGAGAATTTTTGAAAAAAAATTAAATTCAAATTTCCCGCCAAATCCTCAAAAAGTATACTGTACTTTCAGATGCACAAAAACGACGATTATCCGGAGAGAAAACGGAAATTTATGGAATTTGTCAAGAAGTTAATCGAGGAGAGAAGATTTGGAATTTTCGGTGGCGATCAATATATTCATAATCGAATGTATTTGTTCAATTTCGAAAGTTCTTACTGTCAAAAAAAGTTTTTGAATAAATTCTCTTAGATTTTGCTTTGTTTTTTTTTTAGTTTTCGAAAGAAAAAATGTTTAATTTTTTATAAAAATGAAAATAGAACCTTTTTCATATAATTCTGTGAAAAAATCAAATTTCTAGCCGCTCTGTGAGCCGAGATACAACGGTTTGAAGTTTTGGAGGCGAGAGAGTGAGAGG